GTTCAAGGACACCATATATAATAACTAACAGAGGTCATAAACAGTTATGTCGTGGACAGTGACTGCAGCAGGCCGCCTGTAGTTCAAGGACAACTTATGACATAGTAATTAACGAAGGTCATAAAGAGTTAGGAGGTAGACAATGACCTGCATCAGCCCGCCTGTAGTTCAAGGACAACTGGTGTCCTGCCGTGTGTCACTCAACAAAGACTCGAGTAATCCACCTCACACCCTTCAACTCTTACCTTAGGGTGGAGAAGGACTCGCTACTCCACACAGAAAGGGTGGTGAGGGAGTCTTAGACGCACTGAGTTTAATTAATTAACAGATCACAGGTACACCAAGGTGGAAGAAACACAACACAAGCAACAACCACAACAGCTGATCAGCGTGTTGGTGTTGTTGATGAACCACTACGGACCCAAACCTTATTCATAAAACTCAATAAAAACATACAATAACATTCTTTATCTCTCATTATCAAGCTACATAATTCCACATACTACAACGTTTAGAAATTCTGATACAAGTGGAAATGAATTACTGAAGAAATATCTAGATATCTAGTCGGGTAAAAGCCACACCCGAACTTATAACCCAAAATCCGAGGTCGGGGCCAATATTACTATATTTCCAAACAATAAAGTCTTATATATATTCATGAGTTTCGTTCAGTTCTATAATATATAAACCCTTCTAACCAAAGATGTAAAAATATACCAATTCATACCCGGGAGAGGGAAATATCCCACTATTAATTTCTCTTGAAACCACAACTTTCCATCCCCGAAACTAGTTCTCAGTAATAAAAAGTTATCTGGTGTTTTATTAAAAATTTATAATTTATGACTTTTATAATCTTGTTGAGATTTACTTGAATGCAGTGTCAGGAGTTACAAGTGCTAGAAGTTTCTGTGTCGAATTTCATGAGTGTGGAGTTTTAAAAGTTTCATTGGTATCAAGAGTTTTAAAGTTTTGAGTTTCAAGTGTCAAGATACCATGCCTGCTGTTTGTCACTCTTATTGCCTGCTGCCTGTCACTCTTGTTGCCTGTTGTTTGTCTTTTACTTTACTTTAATCCTCTTCACCACTGATCGGCTCGTTAGCCGCCCGGGCGATCGGTCACGTCTCTGTCACGCACTGTTGGCAAAAAGGGCATGCACCGGCTCCTGAATGTACCTGAACCCGCTCCAGTGTTGGTCAAGTCTTCTCTTGAAAGAGCTCACACTCGGTGCCGTCACAACACTCTGTAGATTGTTCCAAGAGTTTACAACCCTCACTCCGAAAAAGTTTGCCCTCACGGTTTTCTGGACTTGCGGCTTCTTCAATCTTGAGCTGTGACCCTTGTGGGCGTCTGCCAGCTCAAGTAAGGACACTCAACTGAGTAGTGCCCCTGAGATGCTTATACACCTCAACTAGGTCCCCCCTTGCCCGTCTGCAGTATAAGCTAGGCAAGTTCAGGCGCTCCAATCTCTCAGGATAGCCGAGGTGCCGAAGTGCAGGCACCAGTCTGGTGGCCCTCCTTTGAACATTTTCAACCGACAGTCCCTAGCATATCTCGGGAACCAGATGGGGTGACAGTACTCTAGATGGGGAAGAACTTCACTCCTGAAGATCGTTACGATGGACGGACCATCTAGATATCTGAACAACCTTCTTATAAAGACCCAATAATTTATTTGCCTGATTTACCTTCTTCTCGCACTGGCCCGAGAACTTCAGCTCACTGTCAACATACAAACCTAGGTCCTTTTCACACTATCTCAATTAATGCTCCTTGTGCAGTTTTATTTGTTTTAATTATCTTCTCATCACAATATCCATGCCTTTTGGCACACACACACACACCAACTTACCAAGGGCATGTACGGGCTCATGACTGTACCTGAACATGTGCCAGTTAGTCAAGTACCTCTCAATCTTTTGGGAATGAGGGTCCATGTGTGTGTACAATGTGCCTAACATGTAAAGATTCCCCTTCCCTCAAAAAAATCAAGGGAGATTAAATCATCATTCTTAGTATTTTCTTCACGGTGATTTTAATAATATCACGAAGAACATTGAAAAATATTACAATAAACTTGAAGGAAGCAGAGTAGACGAATATTACTGTATGAAGATAAATAAAAGTGCACTTTTTTTCCTGTACCGGGAGCCACCTTGCCACCGTGGATAGTCTTGTGCTTGCATTTACCCAACTACACTTACAACCTCCTGCTCTCCAAATTACTACAAAGACGTTATTTTGATGTACAATTAGTTTTTAGTGATTTTAAATGAATTTATTTTTAAAAATTTGGTGTATCTAGCAATATCAATTAATACTGAGTAAATCCAAGTGGAAAGTGGATGGATGATACAAGTGACTGAAGACATGACTGATAGCCTGCAAGAAACTTATCCGTCTAGGTGGACAAGCAAGACTGCCGTTATGATATAATTACAATATAAAGTTTGGAATCACCTGAATATCCCCCCAGGTTTTAAATTCACCTTAAGATTAACCCTAACCTCATCCCCCGAATTGTGTTCGGGTATATCCCTCACTGGCCTTCCTCATCCACATACGTCCCTGACAGTCGTGTAATGGGACACAGGACGGTCAGAAGCTGGTGTGTATGGACCTCCTGCCTCGTCTACAGTTATGGCATCCACTATGACATATCCTTTGACAAGTGAGTTATGCAGCTAAGAATCTTTGTTGTCTCTCTTTCAAGGCCTGACTTTAGTACTGTATTCCCCTAGTCAAACTCAACATATAAAGTAAAGATATCCCAGGGTTGGATATAAAGCATAAGGATTACACTCTGAAGACTTTAAAGTCCTCAAAGATTCCATACCCAGTAGCCTCAGACACTGTAATACTATATTGAGATTGACACTAGTCCTTGGGTGTGTGACAGTGGTCCTCCTTGGGGGTGTGTGTGTGTGTGTGTGTGTGAGAGTGCGACTATCTAATTTATACTATATCAATGTTCATTTCTGAGGTAACTTTGTTAACTCAAGACATACAAATGGGTACTTAATATAAACTTGTAAACCCCCCCCAAAAAAGAAAAAAAAATAATTCCTGTTTTTCTAGACAGTAAATAGTACTGTGTAACACCGTTATACTTGCACAAAAATACTGTATATATAACAAGTTACAGATGTTAGTAAACCATAATTTTGGTATCACTGTGCAGGGCAGCTGCTGAGCTAGGCTGTTCAGTCAACATGTTTGACATCTTATCATTTGGTTACAAGTCTCAACCTCATCTTACATTCCACCATATGGGTGCATCACCATGCAGCCCAACTGCACTTCCTTGACCAAAATATAACCCTGGATGTAAACACAGTCAGGGTACACATGCTTCAGCTGGGACATCTTGGCCAAGACCTCCACATTTTGAAGGTAAGCAGCAGTAGCCTTTGGGTACTTCCTGTTACACTATGAGTTGAAGACCAAATTTGCTCTCCTATCCAGGTAAGGTTTGGTGATTGAGTAGATTCAGCATTCAACTCCTGCCCTATGTGTCACTGGTTTATGCCCAGTGTATCACCATCACCCAGCTGTGAATGGGTACCTAACTTCAGAGCTGGGGGAAGTGAAGGCAGTAGAGTGCAATGCCAGTCACACTATCTCCTGGACTTTGTGTTATGATACATGAGGCAAATAATCTGAGCTTGGTCATAAAATGGGAACTAAGAAACAATCTTCTGTTGTTTTCTTTTCAGTAATTAGTTCATGTCATCAGTGAGAATTCTTTATACCTCAAGTACTATTAACCATCTTGCTATAAAGCTACACCTAATAAACTTCTGTATACTATATATACTTTACTTACTGTATGCTGCAGATAGATGTGGAGGGCAGCGAGTGGTCACTGCTGAAGGAACTAGTTACATCACCACTCCTGGACTACGTGGGACAGATTGTCCTTCAACTACACAATGATGATAGTATACATTTAGATTCACCACGAGCACTGGCCTTATTACAGGTGAGATATTAACTAAACTTTTATTACAGGTTAGATACAAACTAAGCTTTTATTACAGGTTAGATACAAACTAAGCTTTTATTACAGGTTAGAAATGAACTACATTTCTATTACAGGTTAGATATGAACTGAACCATGGCTATTTGTATTACTCTCTTGTGAAAGGATAATTAGGTCTGAGTATATTACTGTATTATTGTTCTGTATATGAGTAGACTTTTAGGGAGGCGAAATCTTGGAAAAGAATGTCTCAGAATTTAACCATTTCCCACTAACTCCAATCACATTTTTCTTGGTCATTCTTCCTTATTCATATTCACTAAAATGACATGATTTTGTAATGACTTCATCCCCTTCAATCATTACCATATGAAGTGAAATAATATATTCAAATAAATCAATAAGGTGAGATATGTGAAGCAACTGTAAACCAAGACTTTTGGAATGTTTACCCCACTGGAATTAAGCAGAGGTTGGACTTAATGTACAGTCACAAACTCAAGTCCTGTTGCCTTTTCTGCTGTTCCACGCACCCCAAGATTCAGATTTGTGAATCCGAAGCATTTATGGATAGAATAATGCATCAGTGTCTACTGCTTCAGGTTCACGAGTCTAAATCTCAGGGTTTGTGGAGCAGCAAAAGAGGTGATAGGACAAATCAGATGCAATTTCAATCTACAAAACATCCATATGAAAGGAGTACAAAAGCCTTTCTTTAAGAATTATAAAATCAAAGTATGAATTAAAAGTAGCTGTTCAAGCAACTATACAGTATAGCTACTTTAGTCAAAGGGTAACAAAGCAGCTCTCGTCATTTGCTATCATGAGGCACTGGTGAATCCTTAGTCATAAAATAAATTATATGTGAATTATAATATCTAAGGTAAATATATATTTTTCTTTCACTATTGTGCATATTGTTCCCATCACTCACTTAAAGACAGATCAAACATAACATGGGATGAACATCTACAGTACTGTAACACCAGACTTTTAACAAGGAAAACAACAAGGAGTCAGTTGCTTTGTTTATTAAATAAGGCTAAGATATCACTGGGGTTTAAAATTACACTCCAATTGAATTTATAGATGGATCAATATGTACTCACAGTATTATAACAAGCACTGCAATATATGTTCAATGAATGGCCACAGAAATAATGAAAACATTATACAAATTATTAATAAAAAAAGAAAACACTAAATCAAGAGGAATGAATGTATAGTATCCCAATATAATCATGAACTACAATTACCATAAATAATCCTGCCAAGCTCCTGTGAATGATTGTAGTCAAATGATAATAACAATAATGAAAACATGAAATGCCTCTTTCTTTATGGATATATATTTTATTAAGTATTCTAATCCACGTTAAAATGAATCTTCCCAGTTCTTCACGCGATTTACCCTCAGAGTGGTCAACTTCTGAATGACGTCGGCAACGCTGTGCTCGCCGTGCACTTTGTTGTCGCGGGTACGCACGTTAAGAGTGTTGTTGGTCTTTTCCTTTTCTCCGACCACAAGAATGAAGTTGTACTGCTCAAGCTGGGCGTTTCTGATCTTCTTGTTCATGGTGTCGCCAGGATCAGTGTCGTAGTCTGCCTCAAAACCTGCGTCATGGAGCTGTTGATGGACACTCTTGGCGTAATCATCAAATGGTGGAGCTACTGGTACAATCATACACTGGCGAGGGGACAACCAGAATGGCCATTTCCCACCAAAAGACTCGGTCAGAATGGCAATCATACGTTCCACAGAACCCAGGATGGCGCGGTGGATGATTACAGGACGTTTCTTCTCTCCTGTTTCTGAAACATACTGCAGGTCAAAGCGAATGGGAAGCTGGAAGTCAAGTTGAATGGTGGCACACTGATGCTGTCGTTTTAAAGCGTCAGTAACAGTAATGTCAATCTTTGGACCATAAAAGGCACCATCACCAGGGTTCAGCTTCCACTCCCTACCAAAGTCATTCAGGGAGCTTTTCAACTGCTCTTCAGCACTATTCCAAAATTCAACTTCTCCCAAGAATTTCTCTGGGCGAGTGGACAGTTTGAGGAGGAACTCAAACTCAAGGGTGTCATAGATAGCATTGAGAAATTCAAGGCATCCCTTAATTTCAGTCCGAATCATATCTGGGGTGCAAAAAATGTGTGCATCATCCTGCTGGAATCTTCTTACACGAGTCAAACCAGTCAGGGCACCCGAGAGTTCATTACGGTGGAGAACGCCAAAGTCTGCCATACGAATGGGCAGTTCTCTCCAAGACCGGGTAGTGTGTCCAAACATTAGGCAATGTCCAGGGCAGTTCATGGGCTTAAGAGCAAATTTCTCCTTTTCTATCTCAAAGGCAAACATATTCTCAGCATAATGCTGCCAGTGCCCAGAGGTCTCCCACAGTTTGGTGTTGTACACATTGGGGGTCACCACTTCTTGGAAGCCTCGTTTGCGATATTCTCCACGGATTAATTCAATCAAGTTATTGTAAATGTAGGCACCACGGGAGGTGAAGAAACAGCTGCCAGGACTTAATTCATGGAAGAAGTAAAGTTTCTGCTGAATACCTGAAAATGAATTAAATTGTCTGAGATAATAACTGATTTAATACTGTATGCAGTTTTGGCAGACACATATCTCAGCCCTCTTAGTACTAATTAGTTCAGAAGCTTCTAAATTATAGGTAGTTTCTGAATGACAAATTTGTTTTGGCAGTCAAAGCTATTGAATGAATTAGCAGCATCTTATGCACTAATTTATATCAGCCCAACAAATCCAATCAATTTTAACTTTAATCTTAAGTATTCTTCACATGATAAAAGGCAGCTGATAGTCAGTAAATTTCACTATATGTTTAGGTAGAAAGCCTGAAGAAGATTTGAGAAGACTGAGGGTCAAGGTGTCCATGACCTAAGTACAATCAAGCTTTCCATGTTTGCATATGCATGTCACAGCCTGTATAAATATCTTGTGTGGTGGGCAGGACTGAATGGCAGTTTTAACATGTCAGAGTGATAGCCCAACAATGAACAATGTTATTTGGCTTTTAACAATTTTTTTTTCACTCGATAACTTTGAATATTTTCAAATAATTGGAAAAATCATTAAACAGAATAAGGGCAACATCTTTCACCCAACATTATGTATCACAAAAAGCAAACACGTTACTTGCAAAAGGGTGAACAACTATGTGGGACACATTACATAATGCCAGGATTTAGTCTTAATATCATTGCTGAAGTGGCTAGTGTGCCATTAAACACCGAGTTGTTTGCCTTTCTTACAGATAGCAGTACCTGCACTCAATTCCTCAGTTTTCTTCTTAGTTATAAGTAATATCTTTCTCTTCAAGTTATTAAACCATGATAGAGGAATGGTTTACACTAAGCCTTCACAGTGAATCTTGGCAGATCACAACAATAAGTTGAACCACTCCAAGCATTTACTGAAATATAAGAATTAACTCTCCACAAACTAACCTGACAGTCTACTAACTAAGCAGGAGTTAATGAAGCTTGAACGACTAAGCGTGAATGAGGCTTATGGTACCAGGTACAGAATAATGGTTAAATGTGTTTGGATCAATATATCAAATTTCTTTACAATACATCACAACAAGGACCAATTCAGCCAATGGAGAAGTGGAAAGGTTGTATTAGAGTAACATTCCTTTCAATCAACCTGTTTAGCCCAAAAAACTCTGTCATGTGAAAATCACTCTCAATCTGGTTGGAACATACTGTATACCTATGCTGAAGACCTGGCATGATTAAGCCAAGAAACTGTCACAATTTAGCCGTGAACCTGTTATGGTTGTAAGTAAATCATACAAATGTTTTGGGAAGCTTGTCAAATTTTATGAGCTCACCCCAGCATTCTACTTCCCATAAGAACTCCTACTACTACTAGTACTACTTCTACTACTACTGGTACTACGTACTTCTACTACGACTCTACCACTACAACAGATTGCAATTCACACTATTTTAAAGATTCCCTTTCAAAGAGCTAAAAGCTAGATTATGGATACAGTACTGATTATACACAGAGACAATGAATAAAACCATTATGAACTGACCCACAGCAGAAGCATATATTGGTGTCTATACTGTACTGTATATACATGTGATAGGAATATTAAAGAGAAAATATTGTTTTTTCTTCTGGACAACTAAAAGCTCTCCCAGCTAACCAAGATAAAGTGAATGCTTTCCTAAAAACTTAGTACATATATGTAGTTGTTGTTTTTTTATCCCTGCCAGCTTTTTCTCACTATGATGGATGGTGACCATAATCAAGAGCAATGCAAACTCCTTTATTGTCAATTGTTCCAGCTGCTATAACAGATGTATTCTACTGTGATGTTCCCCTTAAATGACAAAGACGCCCAATATATGAAATATGTTTATCCCTGTTGTTCCAAACAAACATGTTCGTTTCCATAAATTTCTCAGTACCTCAAATTTACATAATCAACAAGTGGTTTACATTCACACTAACTTACCAATTTTTCTGTGATCTCTTTTGGCTGCTTCCTCTTGGAAATGTTTCCACTCTTTCAGCTGTTTGGGGTCTGGGAAGCTGATGCCATACACACGCTGGAGAGACTCTGCCTCACTGTTACCTTCCCAGTATGATGCTGAGTTTTTAGTCACCTGCCAGTTTAGGAACCAATTATCACCTTAATTTTCTTGATACTGAAGTCACAATGACTTTAACAACCAATTATTCTCTTATATTTGTAAAGAGGCTTCATTCATTAAGTTAGGAAGCACCATATTCCTGTACATCTAGGTGAAAGACTGTCCATGTAATGTAAAGATAGGTTTAATTTATAAATCACTCCATGTTATTCCTGAATTTTATATATACAGTAGAGCCTATAAATGATATTTTGTTGTTTATCCACATAAACATGAGCTGATAAATGTTGGACAGTAATGGTCATCTACTATAAAGTGCTGTAATTGCACTGGTAAAGGTCATAAATTATGATAAAAGTTTGAACAGAATTTACCAAATAGTAAAACATAAAGTTTGCACTTTAATTTGTGAAATATAGCAAAATCTTACCGAAAAGGCTTTCACTTTGCCAGTGTGGCGGACATGTGGGCCTCGGCACAAATCAATAAGAGGCCCACAGCGATAAACAGTGGTAGTATCAGTCTTTACTTTCTCATTCAAAAGTCGCACCTGAGGAAAATAAGTTTACCTGTCAGTACACCCTATAGAATGAGGGTACAGTATATATATATATATACAGTAATACTAACTTTCTCTACACCTTGCATTATTTTACAGAAACTCAGCATCAAATGAGGACTCTGTAAATCCCACTGATCAAGGCAGTACTGTATGTATATTTCTACAAGTATACCGACCTTAAACTTGTTGTATTTGAACATCTCTAAAAGATCCTCCTTCTTCATTTCTAGTCTCTCAAATGGCTGCTTCTCTTTAGTGATCTTCTTCATGACTTCTTCAATGGCAGGGAAGTCCAGGTTAGACACCCCGGGGCCATCAGTGTGCATGTCATAATAATAACCTTCCTCAATGGGAGGGCCGTAACAAAGGTGGCCACCGTACACACGTTCTAATGCTTCACCTAAAATATGGGCGGAAGAATGCCAGAACACCTGAAATTGAAATGATTAATGTACACCTACTGGCTGTTATACCATATAGTACACATATATCTTAAAACCACACACACACAAACTCCAGGTTTCCCCTCCCAAATTAGATGTAAAAAAAAAAGATTTCATAATCTGGACACAAACTGTTAATTCATATGGTATTTTACAGTACCCTCTCAGCAACACTCTTACACTGTTCCCAATCCTATTAACTCCCACTTCACATCCATAAGACCACTTTATTTTGATCTTTTCTTTCAATCTTTCAACCACATTCTCTTTCTTCATCTTGTCAACAGAGTATCTACATCTTCTTTCTCCCTTCAATAAGGTTAATTGCCATGAATCCTTCTACCTCTCTATTATTATTTTTTCTATCTATAAAACATTTTCACATACAGTACAAGCAGCAATACACGAGGAGAACTCACAGTCTTGGCTTCATCATCACCAAACTTCAGCAGCTCTAATTTACAATCTTGCTCCAGAGGACGGTCAAGGTCCCAGACTATTCCATTGACTTTAGCTACCACAGTGTTTTCTGCTAGACCCTGAGAGATACCTTGTGCCACTTCATATGGAGTAGTGATCCAAGACTTGCCATCTTTGACTGCACCATCAGGCAAAGTAATCTGCCAATAGACATTTTCAATTTGTATTAAAACACACTTAAAAATAATACATGTACAGTATGGATATTTAAGAACCATACTCCCCTCAGTGAAACATTATCAATAAGATACTGTACAGTATAATGAAATAAATGACTACATATAGTCTTATCTAAAAGCAATAGTAATAACACACAAGTGAGACACTGTTCATTACTGATCTAAAAAATCCCACTATAAATACCTAAGTGTACTGAACTGACCTGAATAGGTTCAGACAATTTTGCCGCAAGAGCCTCATCAGCTTCCTTCTTGAGTCTGTCCCACATGTTCAGCCGCTCCTGGATGTAATCTGGCCATGGGGTCAGCTCAATGGCACCCTTCCCACTTGCTCCTCCTTTTTCCTTTTTATTCTAGAAAAAAAAAAAATAACATTCCATAAGTACTGGTTGTGTACAGCCTCAGATAGATAATAACACAAAACAAACGTACAATTTTCACTGCAACAAAGATACATACAGGTTTCTACAATGCTTTGTATATCCTTTCCTTAAACAACACAACAGCAAAGCAACCATCAAATAAAAAATAAATCGCATAATTTCATGCACTGCCAACAGATAACACTCCATCTTGTAAGGCTCAATATACCACAGTACAGCAAATCACACCTGTGAAGCAAGTACTGTACTGTACACACGTGACTACAAGGTTTGTAACACTTGTATCAACACTCACAACGAAATGGGGAGTTTCAAGTGGTTTGTAAATTCTTATTTGAAATGAGAAGTTTCAAGCCATCTCTTAAATCTTTCTCGTTTTGACAATTTCCTCTCGCATTCAAATGCTCAAAGTCTAATTTGAAGTTCACCAGTTGTCAGATCCCGAAGGATTCCAAAATGCTGTATCACAACTCTCCTTTAGCTAAGAGAGAACATCAAAGACATTTTTTATTAGTCCCGAGGTGGGAGAACCAATCAGTATTTTCCAGGCGAGACTTTTCAGAAATCTCATCCCTGACTATAGGTCTACTTTCAGAGAGAGCTGAAACATCCCCTGGTAGCCTTAAGCCAAGTCCTGTAAATCTACAGTGCACAATCTTATTCACTTTTAATTATGAGGTCATTATTTTGGAGTATATCTTAGTACAGTACAATACTGTATTCAAATTTGTTCATGTTATATGTGCCTCACATTACAAGCCAGTGATATGTTATCCTGTTGTATATTAGGAAAACCTTTTATGATACTGTACAGTATTAATAAGCATATTATTAAATCTATGCATTACCCCAAGAACTGCTGAATACATTAATTATTTAAATATTTTTTTTAGTACAGTTTATCATAAATTTCATGTACTAAATGAGTGCTGACAATTACAAGAAAATCACAAATTAGAATCAGCACAATATATGCAGTACTGTACAAAGAGTTCAGTAAGTAAAGAGGCAGAGTGGCCAGTACTGTACTGCACTTGAAGGGTACTGAGTAGCCCGAAGTTGCAGACTTGGTTGGGTCAATGAATGAGTTGCTCGGCCCAGATATGTGGCCAGAAAATGATGTTTGCTATGAAGTGAATGAATGTTTGGTAACATCTTCCCACACAGAAATTAACAAGTTAAGATTCATGACTTAGGAATGAACAAAAATAAATCCAATATATACTGTACATACAGTAGTGATTTGCATAAATTTAGACATACTGTTACCATAATTACTACAGAATTTGCAAGTGTAATAAATATAAAAGTATGTGCTAATGAGGAATGAAGGTTAACACACAATGTACTTTACTGGTGACAACAAGCATACGGAAACATTCAGAAATACTGTAATGTCTGCAGCAGATTTAGCATGCGACATACCACAAGATATTAGATTACAGTACCATAACTATACAGTATATACCATTGACCAAGCTATTGTTCATGTGAGACTTTGCCTAAGCTAAACTAGACTGTCTTGAGGTCTACTATCAACCCTACAACATTAATAACTGCAAACATTTTCATGCACAACAGTGGGTGAGCCCATTCCTCCAGTTCCCAAGCAAATAATAATAAAATTTCACTTTAAGTCACTCAAAATTAAAACTTTGTATGAAAGTTAGTGCCTCACCTCCGCCTGACTTTTACTTCCAGATGCTTTCAGAGGCTTTGTGTTCTGAGGCTCTGATTTCTGTTTTGAGGAATTACTCATATCTGAAGCAGGTCTTTTTCGCTTTAACTCGGGAATCTTCTGTTGCAACACAATCTTAACGGAAGACTCTGAAAAGTTTCTACTACTGGTACCAAAGCTGGCAATGTGGTGGTACCAACGAGCCACATGAGGATACTCAACACTCGGAACTTCACCAAGGGCCTGCCACGCTGCCACGTCTCCTTGTGTGGGTTGATGCCCGCACACATAACTTTGGTCTGCCAACAGAGCATCCAGGCCAGCCAAGTCCAACTCCAATGATTCCATTTTGAGTATAAATTTGTTCACTTTCTGAGTCTCTACAAGGCACCTCTGTTCTACTGCAAGTACTTCTGACAAGACAAAAACAATGGCTACAGGGAGCTACATAGGAAATCTTCTCTGTATTCTATATTTTAGATGTTACACTACCACAGAATGTCCTTAGTATTGTAGTATATGATAAATAATAACACAAGTACAGTATTACTAAATAAAATAATTTGCCCTAAAGCACTGTAGTGTAGTATTAAAACATCTATACTTCCGTGACATTCCTATATATAATCCCTACACACCTGAAAACTCAGTCCAGTTAATGACTTTCAGAAATGCTATTATTTCAGCAGAGTAACTTTGCACGTCAGTCCCTTGTTGCTGATACAGTAGTAAAATGTAATAGCTAAGTTTTTGTATGTCCCAATCTCCACACCTGGGAATTTTGAAGCATGTGGACAAGCTCAAAACTTGAAACCTATGGAGAGAGAAGCTACACTTAACCCTCACTAAACATTATCATCAGGGCTCTGGGGCAATCAAAAAATACTGGTCCAACAAAAATACACCTCAATAAAATTGCTCTATACAATAATTACATCATAATCCATGTGCAAAGCATAAAGTAAATTATCTATACACAAGGGAGATGAAAACACAGAAATTAGAGTCAAGATTTGAGACAACAATTCTCCTCATACAACCAAACTGAAGAACCATTACTACAAAAGTTGTCTATATACCGGTAACTAAAGTAATTCCAACTCCATCATATAATTTGGGTTAATAACGCAGCCCGTTAATAAATACTTTTCATAAACTAAAATTATAACCAACATGAAGACAAAGTTAATAAAATAAACCAGATTTCAGCAAACACAGCCAATATCCTCAACCACAAAAGGTTAAATGCATTAAATAACAAATGAGTTTCAGTCCATAAACAGCTTAACCTGGTACAACCAACACTATACAGACTGCACATCTCTCTATACAGTACCTCATGAGAAACCCATTAAGTGGAGGAGGAATACATTTTTTGTAGTATAGTTTTAATGATTCTTTCCATAACCTACAGCCAGATGTGATTTCTGACACCATTGCTCCTTGTTATTGTCTAGGATTGTTCGTTGTTCCTTTCACAGCCAGGATTTTATTTAAACTAAAAATTATACGTATTTGCATTTGTCACCCGGTATATGTTTTAAAGAGAAAACTATGTTCTTCCGATAGTTTAGACAATATTAAAACTTTTCTTTTATGATGTTTCCCTCGCAAATGACCTAACCTAACCCCCTAACGTCATAGAAGAAGAGTATCTTAGAATTGATTAAACTATTGATAGCACATAGCAAATTCCCCATACACCGCACCAGGTGACTTATGCAATAATATAGAAAAAAATAAGAAAAATATTTTCCTCCTCCACTTTTTGGCCTTTTCATGATGTAAGAATGCACTCACATCTTTGAAGAACAATGTCCTCAAGTTGCTGGTTCAGGCACACAGCCATCGTACATTACTCTCGAATGAACTTTTAGTTAATATACCTCAAACAAAAGTAAAAAAAAACTCCATATGGAAATGACACAGCATCCCAAATCCACCACATGTAAACCAAGAAGTGCAGTGACGACTTTACGCCCATTAAATCCAAGATTACCTCCACCAAATGCTTCTAGACATTAATAAAAAACAATAAAAGTAGTTACTCAAGACTTAATGTACACCATAAAAGGCACAAGAGCCCACTGTCATCTCCAGCTCCACTAATGACTATATTTCACATTGTCATGTTAATATCACGACCAAAAATTAATTGTTATAACCTACGGGTACTGTATTAATGACCTGAAACACATGGCAAACTGGTGACTCAACTACCAGTATACAAGAGACGTCTCGCTCACCCACTGTTAATAGTCAACTACAAATCCTAAAACCACAGTCAATAATGTCATTTACACAAGATGGAGAGATGCTTTTAATAAATGAACAAGGCTACACACCCGCCCAGCCGCCCTCTGAGCATATGTTTGTGTCGACAAATTTCTCTTTATCAAGCCAACTGTTCGAACTAGAAGTCTCAACACTCCCATCGCTAACAAACACTGCAGACAACCACCTTAGCTTGAGACATTACGGCCTGGTGTAAACTCGTCCTCGGTAACGTGGATCACAGTTATCAGTTTCACTCAATAAAGTACAACAACAATCAGTCAGCAGAGGTAGGCCGTGCGTGACACTCCGGCCGCCACCATAGATATATATGCCACATGTCGCCAACATCAATTATCGTACCACCATCTGTGGATTGTTGTACCTTATGATGCTGTCATACATTTCATGTTTACACTAATAATATACAGTATTTGAACCACATTTTCTTTCTAGTATTTATTATAATTTTTCTTCTTTGTAATTATAAGCTCAGACAAAAACAAGACGATATTAATCTATAACACTTTTGGCGCATTTCACCTATGACTGAAATATCGGGAGTTGAAAATCAGAAACTACTAAAAGAACTACGTATTATTGCATTTATTGTCACCAACCGAATCCCGGGATTTTGTTCTTTTTAAGCAATAGTTTAGGAAATTCTGACACTTTTCTTCTGTGATGTTTCCCTCGCCATCTGAAACCTATACAAATTCCCGAGGGTTCGGTTGTAATATAGACTGGTTTCCAGCTGTTAATATTTGTGATCAAGTATGAATTGACGGAACTACGGCCACTCGATCTGGTCAATTTATAGTAGAGGAAATAATTCGATACATCTTTTTTTACGGGGAATAGCCCACCCAGGCACAGGTCATCGACCCACAGCGGGGCCTGTGGGCGAAAAAATAGGAGTTCAGACAAACACAAGACGATTCTCATCTACGATACTTTTGGCGTATATTACCCATAACCGAGATATCGGGAGATGAAAATCAGAAAACTACTTGTCGAGCTTCATATCATTGCATTTGTTGCCACCAACCAAATCTCGGTATTTTTCTTTGAAAACAAGAGTTTGAAAAATTATATGAGACCTTTATTTTAAGCAACGTATAGCGTCGCAGTATAACCATCAATGTAGTTATCATATTTATTTCAGTTTCACGTTGTGTAACCTGATGCAATCCCAAATAACCTGAGTATCGCAGTAAGTTACATAACCATTTTGAAACCCGCGCCACCAGGTGAGGAGACTATCGTACGCCTATGACTAATGACGACACCTTTCATACGTGTGTGAGAAATAATGACAGGATAAAGGTCTATCTCTCATATTTTTTTTATGTGGTTGGATTAGTGTATTACTAACTTTGCTACGCACTTAAAAACCTTCGTTATTGAAGTGCAGTATTAACATGATAACAACGAGAAGGTTAATTACTGAACTTACCGTGTTCCATGGTAACATGTCTCCGGCTGATGAAATATGTTGGGCTATTTCATAACAATCAATACCCAGGTTTATTTACTACTAAACTATGCACTATATTACAAATATACAACGAATAAACCACTTACCAGTTAACTAGTCCTCTCAATCTAAATTATTCGATGCAAAATCAACTAAGATGAATTAATTACAATAAATTAGGATCATAAAGTTTTCAGACCCCGTGAAATTTTGTTTAGATCTTCCCGTAGTTTTGCAGAGTCCTCGTCAGATTTAATTACACGACCTATTTTACCGTAGTGTCTTCAGCTGGTTACGCCTATATCTATGTTTTTTTATGTATATAATAAGTAGTAATGGTCCAAGTACTGAGACTTGGGGTACTCCGCTAGTGAAGTTACTCCAATCGGATTTAGTGCCGTTAATGCTTACTCACTGTTTCCTGTCCTGTAACCACCACGCCCTTAATCCATTTTAGAATCTCTTCTCCAATTCCATGAGCCTCCACTTTTCGTATTAGTCTTTCGTGGGGGACCCTGTCGAAGGCTTTGCTAAAGTCGAGGCATAACCACATCATAATCGTGTCCGTTATCCACTGATTCGAAAACAGTTGAAAAGAATGTTAATAGATTTGTCAGACATGAACGCCCACTTGTGTTTCTCCAGGTGATTTCGAATAGTTTGAAATTATTTCATCCCGTTTTTTTGCCTACAATTGATGTTAAACTGATTGGACGGTAGTTAGAGGATAGTGATCTATCTCCCTTCTTGAAAATCGGTATCACATTCGCTATCTTCCAGGCTTCTGGTACTACACCCGTTTTTAAGGACATGTTAAACAACTTTGCTAAGGGTATACTAAGCTCTTCCTTACATTTGTTACGAACCCCTCCACCCAGCACTACGAACCACGCCATCTATTGTCCTGATCTATCTACCCAGCACCACGAGCAACGCCATCTAGGGACGAGACACGAGTATGACTCGTCTTAGTTACCACTCCGAGGTTTCCCTTCTCCCTATCCTGGTTGTTGCGTCACCTCCTCAGTCTTCTTTGTCAGCTCCAATTCGAGGAGAGAGCTTTGGCTCTGGGAAGTGACCACAGGATCATCTATCCTCTAAACCTACGTGCAGTGACTACCTACCGTCTTCTACAATACTCAGCCTTACTCGTCAGCCATCTCAGCTCCTCACTTAAGTATTTGTATTTTGTATTGCCTCCCCCACGTCCACTTGCTTCAAAATTGTTTATGTTGTATTAATATGTATATACTGTTAATGTTTAGGTTAAGTTTGGTTAAGGGTAATTTATAAGCTGAATATTTTGTTTAGGGATTTATGGTACTTTATTATACACAACAAAAACTCGCATCCTTTGTCTACCCTTTTATAGTCCGATTGTCTTTGTTTTTGTTTTTTTTGTTACCTGTTGGGATCTGGGTAGACGTATAACTATATTCTAAATCCCCAACTCGTAACACATTTCTTTAATACTCTGGCAAATCTCTCATCGGGACCTGGCGACTTATTACGCCTAAGTTTGTCTATTTGTTTATTAACATCGTTATTAGTCACTACTATCTCGCTTAATCTATTTTCTTCACTATCTCGGTATACTGTATATTCGGTGGGGAAAATTGTTGGAAGATATCTGCTCAGATTATTGCTCATTTCTCCGTCGTTAACTGTTAGCTTGCCGGTATCTGACTGCATTGGTTATCTCGTGTTTTAGTTTGATATGTATAGATAATAGTGAATTTTTTAATCGTATTATCTGTTGTAGTCACTTCAAGGCGTAAGTCAACACAACATCTTCCTGACCCGTCCATCGGGGCAGATTAACGGTACTTGTGACTAAGGCTAATATTATTATATTCAAGTGATATAAATTAACAGTATTGTATATGTAACGGTACAGTGCACAGTATATATTAACAGCACATGTATATCGGGACAGTCATTGGTACATTTTATATTTTGTATTAACAGTACATGGAACGGTACATTTATACAATTTTCATGTACTGTACTGTGCTTAGCTAGGGTAATAGGGAGCTGCCATTACAGAACCTTATGTTTGCGGACGATGCCAAGTTATTCAGGGAAATTGAGAACCAAACAGACTGCGAAGAGTTACAGAAAGATATCTGTCAGCTTTAGGAGTGGTCAGAGGAATGGCTGTTATGATCCAATGTCACGAAATGGAAAAGGTATACACCCAAGGGCGGTTCACGGTCTAGGGCGCCCCCAAGGGTGGCAGGGGGTCTGGGGCGTGTCCTCTCTAGCCCTCCTCCTTACTGTTACAATAAACAAGGAACAAGTAAAACACAGAATACCGGTACAGGATAATCAAAGAAGAGTTACCCAACGTCCAGTATATTTGAAATCACAACACATGCCGTACAAGACATGAAAAACACACACACACACACACACACACACACACACACACACACACACACACACAACACCTACAAAAATACAATCACCATCCTGATATGTACAGAGGGAGAGTCGGACAAGAGGAAGGCAGTGGTGGAGCCTTCGACTTGGGGCGCTTATATGAGTTTATACCATTAACAGCGACAGTAAGAGCATTCACCAGCGCCTAGCAAGTATTTAGAAAAAACCTAGCGCCAGTAAGAGTATTTAGAATCGCCTGACACGCACCATTATATCGTTATTGTTAGCATAAGGTAGATGAATAGCTTGGCTGGTCTACCTCCCATAATTGCGTCTTAAAGGGAGTGAAGTGCTCGTGCTGGCATTGAAGAACGCCAAATGGGCAATCTACAGCGCCTGGACATTCTTCGCCAGGCGAAAAAAAAAAGGAAAAAAGAAAACCGTTACGGAATCTTACCAAACTTTCGTCTTGTTTCTGTTTGTCGAGGCGGTCCTGCATGACAGATATAGTAGACCACCAAACCCATACACCATAACTTGATGCCGTGTGCTTTTACACCTAACATTATGGTATGTCATTAGAATACGGCTTTGAGTTTCACCATTGAGGTTTGTTATGGTTTTGTTTTACCAGTAAGAAGAAACAGTTTGTCCTATGTGTATGAAGATTCACAGATGTGGTGTGGGGAGGTGTGGAGTACAATACTTGAACAAGTGTACAGGTGTAAATAGCCAAACTCAATACTCTCGGCCACGTGACAAGATACTATATACACCTGTAAGTTTAACCTACACACCCGTAAGTAAATTTAACCTAATCATCGTTAAGCAAGTGTAACACACACCTGTAAGTTTAACCCACACACCTGTAAGTTTAACCCCACACACCTGTAAGTTTAACCCACACACCTGTAAGTTTAACCCACACACCTGTAAATTTAACCTACACACCTGTAAATTTAACCTACACACCCGTAAGTTTCACCAGTGTCACAAATACCATTATGGCTTAAGAGGCTTGTCCTACACCTGATCTCATGAGTTTAGATTCTCGAAAAGACTCCCACCAACCTTTTCCTCACCACAGGAGTTTCAACTATCTCACGACACCGCTTTCAGAAACCTTATATGTGTTTAAAGCAAATCACTGGTACAAAAATTCGTGTCTCCATGTGCAAGAAGAGACCCCTGGTACAAAAAAATCGTGTCTCCATGTGCAAGAAGAGACCCCTGGTACGAAAATAAATCTTTTTTTTTATACTACCGGTCACTTTCAAGATGCAAAGCTGATCTGATATTCGTAGGGTTTTTTTGTAAAGACATCGACACTTCGTCAATCTCCTGCAGTAGAACCTCTAAAAAAAAATATCCCATCTTTGAACCCTCAATAAAATGACATGTTTTAGCGTTAACTTAATCGTTCTAGTTACGAGGGATTATTACTTTACGAGTGTCTGAGAATCTGGTGGAAGGCCTGTCTGTTATTGTCGAGGCCTTGGAGGAGCTTGTTTGTTTGTTGCTAGAGCGCTAGGGTCTGCTGTCCAATGAATACACTTTATTTGGTTGTCTGCTGTTGTCTTGAATCTGTCATTGTCTGGTGTGTTGTCTTGAAGCTGTCACTATCTGCTGCCTTCTTTAAGCTGTCATTGTCTGCTGTCCTCTTAAAGCTGTCATTGTTTGCTGTCTGCTGTCCTTTTGAAGCTGTCATTGTCCGATGTCATCTTAAAGCTGTCATTATTTGCTATCTGCTGATCTGCCATTGTCTGCTGTCCAGGAATCCCACACTCTATACGGTTGTCTGCTATGACCATGACTTGACCTAAGCAGTCTGAAGCGTCACCTGTGGTCGCGTTATGTCGGGCGAACAGTGGGGTAGAGGAGGGTGGAGAAGAATGGGGACGAAGACGGAGGAAGAAGATGAGGAGGTGACAAGAAGGGTAGGGGAAGGAGGAGGAGAGAAAGGGAAATAGAACAAACCGAAAATGTAAACAAATACAATAATAATAAAATCTGGCCTTACTATATTGATTTAGATAATGTTATTTCCTGTACAGTTTTATCAACACGGTAATGTCTGTCACTCGATCTAGGTTAAGGAGAATCCAACATCAACAACGTGTTTTAGTGTATCAGATGCTTCATACCGTTCATTCTTTTCACTACACACATACACACACCACAACAAACCATACTTTTTTATCGTTATTAATGCACTTATACATTCATTTAGTATTGCTGTGGTTTGAACGTCAGCGAGAGAGAGCGAGATCGTTATGATACAATTATGTTACCACAGAGAGCGTGTGTATAAACTTCACATTACCATCCAAGGATATTATCTACAAGGGACATCAAAATATCAACTTATTATACACCACAATCTAGTCCAGGCGGTGGGGGAGTGTCAGAACCCAACCATACGTGTTTATCTGTTCTCTTTTTAGTAATAAGTTCGCCCAACAAAATAATGTCCTCCAGGGTTTAGTCGTTCCCGGTATATCCCCACGATACGGTTCTTCAAGGTGCTTTATCATATAGCCCTCCCCCCCCTCCCCCTCAGTCTTTATGGGCCCCAGTGCCGATTTTAATTTTAGGTTTGGAGGAGGCAGGGCTATTAAGACTGGTGCCCATTTGGCTAGCAGACTGGGGCCCATTTGACTTGCAGACTGGGGCCCATTTGACTAGCAGACTGGGGCCCATTTGACTAGCAGACTGGGGTCCATTTGACTAGCAGACTGGTGCCCATTTGACTTGCAGACTGGGGCCCATTTGACTTGCAGACTGGGGCCCATTTGACTTGCAGACTGGGGCCCATTTAACTAGCAGACTGGTGCCCATTTGTCTAGCAACCCATACAATGCTAATAAAGTTTGATTCCATTTTGCAGTGTAACGTTTGTAAAGTTTGTTGTACTTAACACGACAGCCATGAATCACACGTCACTCAGAGCAGCACTACTAATAACCCACATGACTTCATTAACCAATCAAAACAACATCATCAACTACCACAACTGTCCCGTTCCTGAAGGGTTTCCACAGCCACACACAACCAATCCCAGACGCTATATATGCACCAGACTGTGTTTCCATACGTCTACCACGAACGCAGAACCATGTGAAGATTAGGCACCCAAGCTTATTTCACCTGATAATTAAAGTATCCTTACGCTAACCTAACCTAACCTAACCTAACCTAACGCTAACCTAACCTAACGCTAACCTAACTTAACCTAACGCTAACCTAACCTAACGCTAACCTAACCTAACCTAACCTAACGCTAACCTAACCGACGCTATATGAGAGATTTAATGGTTAATATGATTGTCGTGAGATGTGTTGTTAACTATTAGTATTTTTTTTCCCAATCCTGACTGATTGACTGACGCAGCTTATAGCTATTTCTCGGTTTTTACTGTGGTGATAATGGCGGTGGTGGTGATAGTGACGAAGGCTTCTGGCAGTACAGGAGATTATAGTGACAACGAAAACTTTTATAAACATGAAACAAAATCGATTCGCAACCCCCAAATAAACATACAGTTGAACCTCTTGAGCACAATATATTAGTACACTGAAAAAAAATCATCGTATTTCTACTTCTACTACAACAAATCCAATTAAATACGACCTTCCAGGAACTAAAAATAGGTGAAAAAATGTTAGCAACGAAACTAAAAATTTAAAATCTAAAATACTATACTTAAAAAATCTTTGCATTAGTGACAAAACTTTGAGGCCGATTCACTTACCATCATCTAAACTGCAGTATGTTCTTCTGTAAACAGTTAATAACTTCTTTCAAGTAAAACTAACGTGCACTCATCACTTCCGGGGTTAATATTGCTGATTTATCTGACGTGGAGGATAGTGTGTGAGTTGTTCTTGCCAACTGTTGAGGGAAATAGGGTAATACTACGCTATCTTCCTTAAACTTTGGGTACAAGTTTCTGCACATGCGCGCCAACTCCCTTTGTTTACGTAACGTATTGTAGTGGAAATTTGCCCTACAACTACAACTGCCGTTTGTGGCTGACTAGCCGACCCCCTTTTCGAATTCCCCAGCCAACGCCTCGTGGTCTAAAGTCGGCTACTAGCGCCGCCTAACAAGGCGGAGGTCAACTATCAAGCCACGCCTACCTCCGCTATATAAGACCTCACCTCGCCGTGACCTGCCCCTTCTTCTACCTACAGTCACGCAGCAAGCTACACCTCCTCTGAGCAAGCTCCCGAACCAACTCTCTCTACTCCACGCTTGTAACCACGCTGCCACTTCCCAGCACCAAGCTGCACTGTACATCCAATACAATATGTATACAGAGAGCACATTGTGAGTTTCCTTTCTCCAACCCATCCTGAGTGAGAACCAACATCACGAAACCCCACAGTATCTCTCAACCAAGTTACACATTGTCTCTAAACTTGATAATCTAGTAGACTAGTTACAAACTATTATCTCAACCTGATATTTGTGCGTCTCGTGGATATAAAAAGGAGATTGCCAAGCTATGATTAAAAACACCTGAGCGTCGTTTAGCAGACTCGTATTACCGAAACAAAAGACGATCAAACACATCATCCTTACTTATTTTTTAATCAAATGCCATTCAACTTTTGATCTATCCTTCTCAGTTGATGTTATTTATGTATTTCTGTGTTTATTTATTTATCTATCAGCATTTTTATTTACGAGGCGGTCCATTTATTATGCAAATTACCAAATATTTTTCCACGGCAATATAAATGACTAACTCGAGTCTTTAAATCACACATAAAAGGGCTACAGTAACATAACACTATATTAGTTATATATCTTTCAAAACTCATAATCTTCATCTTTCTATTTCAGTAATAAGTCATTTCTATTATATATCGAATATATTTCCATAAAAGGTAATTTTTTTAATATATCATCTATATATCAGTTTACAAGGCCATGTTTGGTATATTTCAGTGGATAATAGATTCGTACGAAGCTCTTTTGGTCACGTACGAGGCCTAATTACACACAGACACTCACAGACGCAAACACGGAAAAATATCTTCCCTTCAGATATATTTTGCAGATATATTCTGACTCATAATTTCTACGCTTCTGTCCACTGAGATAGATATCAGACAGGTATTACCAAGGTATTAGCGACCCATTACAGGTGTTATTAAGGTGTTAGCAGCCCATTACAGGTGTTATTAAGGTGTTAGCGACCCATTACAGGTGTTATCAAGGTGTTAGCGACTACTGATAACAACACAAAGAGTCATCCAAACTGTGTAATCATAATCACATATAGAGTGAGTTCCTCTGCTTGAGTCTGAGAGAGTAAGGGTACTGCGGGTGTCTGTTGACAGGCTGGCGGGTGATGTTAGCCATGGCGCAGCCCATCAGGAACTCTAGGAACCTGCAGCTGGACTCGTAGGTGAACCAGAGCCACGGTGGTCTGGGCAGGACCTTGAGGGAGCTGAAGTGTCCGTAAAGCCCATATACCAAAGCCAGGGAGAGTAGAGTGCCCAGGGCTGCCGTCACGTATGTCACTACTAGTACCTGTAAGAAGAGGAGGACAAGGGTGTTAGTGTGTGTGTTTGTGGGGGTGTTAGTGTGGGGGCTGTTAGTGTGTGGGGGGTGTTGGTGTGGAGGGTGTTAGTGTGAGGGTGTGTGGTGTGTGGGGGTGTTGGTGTGGGGGTGTTAGTGTGTGGGGGGGGGTGTTAGTGTGTAAGAGTTTCTATCCGCGAGTACTCCTGTATTTGTGTGTAAGTGTGAATGATGTTTGTGTGGACATTGGACATGATGTTTGTGTGGACATTGGACACACGTAAACATTATTCTGTTACTTAATATTTAAGATAATATATATTGCCAGAGAGGAAAAGGGAGGTTAGTGCGTTAATCTGTAATAGTAAACCTTTGATGATTTAAACCATAACTCTTTAAGGGCGGTAATTTAAGCCATAATCCTCAACGGTTAAAACACTGTCCTCAAAGGGTTGACTTTCCATATTATGGGTTACCGTTAACTCATTAGTGGCAGCGTTGTATCTCACCTGCTGCACCTGAGACTTCCTGGAGTCCTTGAAAGAGCTGGGAAGCTTGGAGGTGGCGGCGGTCTGGTTGACGTAGGCGATGTGGTTGAGGATGGAGGTGAGGGTAACGTCTGGGGAGTGGGACAAGAGAGACTCCACCTCCGGCTCGTCTTTGACGCTCTTCCTGCTGTTCCTGCGGGTAGAAGAAGGCGAGGAGGTCCCCAGGGTGCGGTGGTCTCTATAAGGCCCTGGCAGCGCCTGCCAGTTCTCGCTGCCCTTACGACTGGAACAAGACGATACGGTGCTACTTCTTCTCCTGCCGCCGCTCGTGTCGCTCCCGAGGTCGTAGGAGCGAGTGTGTCTGAGCTTCACCTTCTCAGTGTTACGACTGCTTCGTCTGCTGGAGGTACTGGCTCGTCTGTGATGGTCTCTTAAGGTTTTCTCGTTATCGTCATGATTTACCGGCTTCTTACTCTCGTGGTCTTTGTCGCAGCTGTCGATGGTGTGTGTGTCCTCAGACCACGTCAAGCTTTTCTTACGTTTGGGAACATCATCACCGTTGACAATTTTCAGACATTTTTCTGAGTCGTCACTTTTGATAACAGGTTTGATCTCATTCTCACCAGACTGACCCTCACAGAAACTTCCTTTCCTCACACCACCACCACCACCACAGCCTCTAGTCGTCTCCTCTGTGGGAGTCTCTGATTTAAACACATAATCTATGGATTTTACTGAGGGGACCTTATGAATAATTCCCTTCATGGCCTCCCTGGTCACCCCCACCACCAGGTCTTCCTCACCCTCAGTTTTATCTATAAATTCTATGTCATCAACATCATCTTCAGCCAGCGAGCTCCACATGCCGGCAGCGTCCTGGGTCGTCTCCCCGTCCCCCACCTCCTCCACCCTGATGATGATGCTGGCGGGCTTGTCACTGTCACTAAAGTTCCTCTTTTTCGCTTTATCTTTCACCTGGTTGTGGTTGAGGGGCGTTTTTGGGCATGTGGGCATATGGGCGACTCCTGCCGCCCTCGAGGTGCTGTGGGCGTGTGTCCTGACGCCCTCTACACCACTGGCCCTCCTCACCACAACAGGTTCTGGGTCTAGTTCCTGGTCTTCGTTCTCCTCGGCGATGTCTGGCGTCACGTCTTCAAACACACGTACACCTGCAGGTCACAGACAGGTGTTACGAGTGTCTCCAAGGTTACTTAAGAAACAAACAGGTGTTATGAGTGTCTCCAAGGTTACTTAAGAAGCATACAGGTGTTATGAGTGTCTCCAAGGTTACTTAAGAAGCATACAGGTGTTATGAGTGTCTCCAAGGTTACTTAAGAAACACACAGGTGTTATGAGTATCTCCAAGGTTATTTAACAAACAAGATGATTCGTCAAGTAAGTATTATTTTTGCATCATGAATTATTTTATTGTTTGAACATTTGGGAGTCAGTTGGTGTGGCAGTACCTGAGGTGGAGGCGACGTTAGCGATGTCACTACTGATGGAGGCCCTGGAGGAGGCGCGGCGGGAGGAAGGAACCGAGTCTGTGAAGGAGAGAGGGAGAATAAGTTATCCTGGTGAGGGAGAAAAGGAGGGAGGGAAGGGCCGAACTGAGAGAGAGGGAGGGAGTGGTACCAAAAGTTCATCTTAAAAAACGTACATTAACGTAAAAAAAACTTGTCAGAGGGGACCAAAAAAAAAATCATCCCCATGTTAGAGGTGCAATCAAAATTTCTATTCCAGTTGCAGAAATAGGAAACCGGAACACTCATCAGCCCCCGTCCACACCGCGGAACTGTTGTGGATGAAATGCTATTGTGGAGGTAAAAAAAAAAAGACGAAAAAAAAGTAAATATATACAAGAAGAAATATACACGTACAAAAATGTTAACTCGTTTCGACTGGTTGTGGTGTGGCTGTGATGTGGCTGTGGGGTGGCGGTGGTGTGGCGGTGGTGGGTGTGGTGTGGTGAACTGATCCCTCCCCTGAGAGAGAGAGAGTCAACCTGGATCAGTAGAGTGGAGGGAGGCGCCCCGAGAACCCTCAATAGATGTAACTGTGAGTGTGGTCAACAGTTAACACTCACCAGTCATCAGTCAAGAGTTAACACTCACCAGTCAACACTAACCAGTCACCACCCACCAATCAACACCCACCAGTCAACACACACCACCCACCAGTTAACAGTTACCTTGGTCGACAGAGTGGAGGGAGGCCCCCCTGGACCCCTCAGAGACATAACTGTAGGTGTGGTCAAACTCATCCGTTATCTTGATCTTAGGTGTCAGGAGTGAAGGGGCCGCCGCTGTCAGCACGGACGAGGCGATATTGTTACACTGAGCCAGAAGAGCCAGTTGTAGGATACCTGGGGAGAGTTAATTAGTTGTAGGATACCTGGGGAGAGTTAATTAGTTGTAGGATACCTGGGGAGAGTTAATTAGTTGTAGGATACCTGGGGAGAGTTAATTAGTTGTAGGATACCTGGGGAGAGTTAATTAGTTGTAGGGGTTAAATCATCATACTCAAGGGGTTAAGTGATCGTACTCAAGGTATTAAGTCATCGTACTCAAGGGACTGTCACCGTACTCAGCGGATTAAAACAGATAGATATGAGAGAGAGAGAGAGAGAGAGAGAGAGAGAGAGAGAGAGAGAGAGATAGAGAGAGAGCATCCTCTTACCTTTGTTGTTGGGAGGGCACTGGTCGCTGCCCTGGAAGGCTGTGTGGGGAATAGTTCTTAACAGACGGATAATTCGTGCTCCGCCGTACAGAAAGGTCACACAGAGTACAAGGCCCCAGCTCAGGAACACCGTCTGTACCACCCACCGCACCACCTGTTAACACAACAAACGGTAAACAGGAGAACAATGGGTGACCAAAAAATATTGTAAAGGGGAGGGGAATACTCAACAGAAAACGGATGTAAACAGATGGGGAGACACAAGTAAATACAATACATCGTTATTATCAATTTCGTTCTTGAGATTCATTCACTATTTCTTGCTTCCAAACTTATCAAATATTGTTGGTGTTATTGATAAAGTTTGGAGGCCTCAACATCGCTTATCGGAGAACTGAAAATCGCTAAAGTTTGGTTACGAGCGAAAAATAAACATTAAGCTTGATTTAGGAAGATTGTGATCGTTAACACTTACATACGAGGGCTCTAAGCTGAATGACTTGAGTGAAAGTGTGTCCTATAGGCATGACAGGTCGTTAGAGACAGTGTGGATAAAGTACATTGCATACTAAGCCTTCAGTATACAAGGAGACAAAGTGACCACCACAATATTCTATCGCTTTTACGTACCACTTTACAGCTGGGTGGACTGGGAGTGCCCCGCAATCATACCATCGACCCTTAGGATAGGAGGTGGGTTCTGTATCCACACGACCACCGCACATTCGATTTAGTAATACCATGAAGAGAAAAAATAATATATATGTTTTAGTTATGAGGTAAGGCTTTAATCTCTCTCTCTCTCTCTGTCTCTCAACCTCCCTCCTCCCCCCCCCCCTCTCTCTTTTCTCTCTCTCTCTGTCCAGCCTCTCTCTCAGGACCTCACATACAAGTATATTAAGCCAGGAACTTGTCCCCCACTTGGCCATCATCAATACAGCAGGTCGCCGAAACTTTAGGTGACCCCAAGATGCAAGTTTGAAGGGTTGAACCTTGTTGTTTAGGAGTTGCTGGGGAAAAATGGAGAGAGGGAGAGAGTGGAGTGTGGTGTGGTGTGGTGTGGTGTGGTGTGGTGTGGTGTGGTGTGGATGGAGGGAGTGTGGTGTGGTGAGATTGAACGGTGTATGGTGTGGCGTGATACTGCGTGGGAGGGAGGGTGAAATAGGGAAGTAGGGACGGAGAGAGAGAGAGAGAGAGAGAGAGAGAGAGAGAGAGAGAGTAATTATATGAAAAACATCTTAAAATTAATTCTGTAGCAGTAAAAAAATGCAAAATTGGTCCTCCAAACACATACAAAACTCGCTCTCTCTCACTCTCTACCCCCATTTTTTCTCTCTCTCTTCCACTTTCCCCGCCTCTCTCTGTCTCTCTTCCAGGAAACGAGAAATAATAAAAAAAACACATAAAAACACACTACCCTTCCCCCTTCTCTCTCACACACACACACACACACAGGTCACATGTGTTCACCCTGGGGAACTAACAATATAAACAAGCAGGGTGACAATTTATTATCCTCAACACATCCGGGTGTGTGTGTGTGTGTGTGTGTGTGTGTGTGTGGTACGAATCTCTCAAGGTCTAATCAGGGAATATAAAAACAAGAAGAGCAGAGTAGTGGACCTATTGAATGACGTCTTTCAACAACCCTGACCTTTTTCCTTCTTCGCCTTCTTCGTCACCGTCATGGTATAGCCAGACAGCCGCCCATGCACAATATCATCAGGTCATTAATGGTAGGAGAGTCATTCTGGCTCTCCTCACACAACTGAATGTTATTTTGGGCAACGATATTTTTACGGATGGAAATATTGATGAAAATACTATTACTACTACTACTTAAGGCTATTACTACTACTACTACTATTGAGGGTATTATCATTGCTATTACTACTGCTACTACTACTACTACTACTAATAATAATAATCAAAATAATAATAATAATAATAATTTGGTGTTCATTCTTTACAAGTCTTTTAACACACAGTAATAGGCAGCGGGAATCTATCAATAGAAATTCACACACTCATCTTTACCTCCCCAACACCTCCCTAACATCTCCCTAACACCTCCCCAACACCTCCCCAATACCTCCCTAACACCTCCCCAACACCTCCCTAACACCTCCCCAACACCTCCCTAACACCTCCCCAACACCTCCCTAACACCTCCCCAACACCTCCCTCAGCACCCACTTTTATCACTGGACGCACAGCTCTCCACTCATGCACACTCACCTGTTTGACCCCTCACCTTCCCACCCACCTACTTCCCTCAGTCGCCTTACCTTCCTCACTCACTCCTTATTGGTCATTCCTCTCTCTCTCTCTCTCTCTTAAAATACCCAATTAAGCGTGTCTTATATATCCAGGTGAGATAAGAAAACAAAACAAGTGTAAACAAATGAATATCGACTTTTTTGGGGGGGGGGCGTAGTGAGGTAGGTAAGGCAGGTAAGGTAGTGAGGTGTGTTCTCATATATCCAATTAGAGGGAACACCTAACGTAAGAACCCTTTGAGAATCTAACCACTGTATGATATATGACACAGGTTAATTGCATCACCCAGGTAAAGGTTAATTAGGGACAGTGACACAATAACAACACTACTGTATACTAAACCTTAGAGACGACACGGGCCAACACTACAGAATAACACTGGGATCGAACCACTGTATACTTAGGATAGATGGTAAGCGTTGTGTTCACTCAGCCACTACACCCTGACCTGAAGAGACTTTTTTGAGAATCTATCCCTTTGTGTTGTAAGTTAATTAAGCCAGGTAGATTCAGTGTCACATATCCAGGTGAGAGAGAGAGAGAGAGAGAGAGAGAGAGAGAGAGAGAAAATAATTACCTAGTGAGGCTCTAAGACTCCTCCCTGGCCCCTCCCTCACCTTAAAGCTGTTTACCTCAAGCCTTCCTCCTGGGTCGCCCCCCCCCCTTCTTCCCCCCCTCCCCTCATCCCCCTCTCCCCTCCCACCAAGACCTACCTCTGACCTAATTTTATACCTTGTGGGGTGGGGGGAGTTGGAAGGGATGTGTTGGGGGTGTGTTGGGGGTGTGTTGGGGGTGTGTTGGGGTTAGTTTAGGTTGAGTGAGAGTGTGTTGAGGAGGAAAGGTGAAGGATGTGTGAGGAACGGGAGGAGAGGTCGGGTGTGTTGGGGAAGGATGTGCATTACTGGTGTGTGTGTGTGTGTGTGTGTGTGTGTGTGTGTGTGTGTGTAATAATAATAATAATAATAATTAACGGTTTATTGAAAGAGCTTGGCAGCCAGAAGGCTGAAAATATACAGTTACATATTTGGGGAATGGGTTATGAATTACAAATAATATACAAGTGACATAAGTGACACAAATAAGACATATAATAACTAGATGGGGAAAAGCTTAAACTACAGTTCATTTCAACATAGTGACAGTGTAGGGAGCAGTGTTTACTGGGAGTGAATACACTGATTTATTACATGTTATTGATAATTTTTACAATGGTTGGGACTGGGCTGTTCTTATAGCGATCAGTTCGTGCTCTCACCTCGCAGGTGTGGTGTCTCGCAGGTGTGGTGTCTCGCAGGTGTCAAGGACTTAATCACTATCCCATTAACAAGTCCACTCACCACAACAACCTGTCCATCACCACCATTGATCTGATTGGATCAGTCTAATTTTCCTGCCTATCAGTGAAGGAAGGGGGAGTATTGACAATCAGAGACAGAGAGATAGGTAAGTAAATAGACTTACAGACAGACAATGTGTTCTGATTTTCCCTTTCTGATGGGCAGGTACTGGTGACTGAGGTATATTTCGTACGTAGAGACCGCCATCCTTCCTCCTTCACTCCTTCAATCCCCCTCCACCTCCCCCTCCACCTCCCCCTCCTCCTCGACTTACCTGCAGGTGGCTCTCGAAAGCAGTCACAATATCAGAGCCAAGGACGAGGGCGAAGTGTGTGGTGATGACGAGGCTCAGGGCCGACTTCCTCCTCAGCGTCTCCGGCCGAAACTTCACCTGCAAGAGTAACACCCATAGAGCTTTCCGACGCACCTAAGGCAGCTGGGTAGTAGACAATGAGCTTTATATAAACAGCGACACATATAGAGCTTGCTGACGTTAATATTTTATGAATACAATGGGAAAGATGATAATAATAATAATAATAATAATAATAATAATAATTTTACACCTCAGTCAGTCATTCTATGCCATTTTATGCCTCACCCAAGACAGTTTATGCCTCACCCAGCCGTCACCCGTCTCTTTTATTGCTCACTTACACCCGACCGAGGCTTTTATGGTTCATTTAGCACCACTACCAGACCTCTGAGTCACACAAACCCAATTTGACGCTACTTTCTGTGTGGCTTCCGGCGGCGGCTTGATCTACCTAACACAATGTACCGTACTTTAACCTGACTTAATCTAACCTATTATACACTACCCTCAATAATTTTACACTTATGCATATTACTTATTTATCACCACTAGGGAAACAATCAAAGTCTCTCTCTCTCTCTCTCTCTCTCTCTCTCTCTCTCTCTCTCTCTCTCTCTCTCTCTCTCTCTCTCATTCCTCTGATAGTGTTATGGTTGTGGTTGTTTGTGGTGGTTGTAGTGGTGGTGGTGTCTTGTTTTGTTGCACACACACACACACACACACACACACACACACACACACACACACACACACATACACACAACTATTCATATATATTCAGACAAATAAACAATAACAATAATCCTCGTATTTCATAACTTACAGACAGACATAATAATATTCCACAGAGAGAGAGAGAGAGAGAGAGAGAGAGAGAGAGAGAGAGAGAGAGAGAGAGAAATCGTACACCTGCCAATAGAAACATGAATGCAAATTCGGTTACATTTCACCTATCCCGTCAGTGTACAGTAGGTGTGTGTGTGTGTGTAAGTCTATGGATTCCTCACGCCGCGTTTCAATAACAAATTCTGGACGCCCATGAGAGAGAACCTAACCAAACTAACACCTGTACACCCACCTATTCTACACCCCCCTACACCCACACGCCCACAATCACATTACACCCAGGTCAAGAGGCAAGGCTTACCACCCATATACCGTGAACAGATTAAAATATATGAAATAAAATAAAATACAAATATATTCCTACAATACTTAATAAAAAAAAAACAATGTGTTTTATATATAACTCATGTCAGGTTATTTTATGTATTAGTATATTAATTAATTCCATAATGCAGTCATTTGATAATTAGTGGAAAATATATGAACAGGACTCGTGGATATTAACTGTATTGTTGTACCGGTATTGTATTGCACCGGTAATGTAATGCATTGCACCAGTATTATTGCTATTTTACCGGTATTGTATTTTATTGTATTGTATTGTACCGGCATTGTAATGTATTGCAGTTGACTTACAAAAAATATTCATATACAGAGCACAGTATTATTATTGGTTATGTAATGGTGTACAAAGGCTCGTGGAAACTGGTTCAAGTTGGCTCAGGCTGCCTCAAACACGGCTCAAGCTGGCTCAAGCTGTGAGTTTGATCCCTTAAGCTGCAGAGATTAACACGGACTCAGTGTTTGTATTCTTAAAGGGTCTTATGTTAACTCATTTACCGCGAACATGAGGTGAAAATACACACACACACACACACACACACACACACACACGCGCACACACACACACACACACACACACACACACACACACACACACACACACACACATACACACGAACAAACAGACAGAGACACAAGTTCTTATCGCCCCTGTGTACGGTGACGAAACACTGGGGACTTGTTTCATGTGTGTGTGTGTGTGTGTGTGTGTGTGTGTTATCAGTGGTGGCTCCAGCATAGTTACCGGGAGGGAGCTGTGTCCCTCTTTGTAAAACTCTACCGGAGGGGAAGGGGGTGCGGGAGGAGGTGCGGGAGAGGGGGTGCTGGAGGCCACGTCTGGAGGTGATACGAATCATTGGTGTGGCGTGAGGAAGACTGATTGTGTGTGTGTGTGAGCTGAGAGAGACACTACAGGTATAGGAGGACTAACTTACCTGTGTGAGTTGAGTGAAGGCGAGTTGGATGAGGCTGAACGCTGAGAGGATGCAAGGGTAACCCACATCCCACATGACGGAGCCTAGGAACCCTGGCATCACCTGAGGGAGATGAGAGGAGTCTGAGAGGTGATGCTGTGAGGGCGATGAGAGGAGTCTGAGAGGTGATACTGTGAGGGCGATGAGAGGAGTCTGAGAGGTGATGCTGTGAGGGAGATGAGAGGAGTCTGAGAGGTGATGCTTTGAGGGAGATGAGAGGAGTCTGAGAGGTAATGCTGTGAGGGAGATGAGAGGAGTCTGAGAGATAAGAGGAGTCTGAGAGGTGATGCTTTGAGGGAGATGAGAGGAGTCTGAGAGGTGATGTTGTGAGGGAAAGATTCATCATGGCAACCCCCTGAGATACAAGAAGGTCGTCATGGCAACAACACCTATAAGACGAGAGAGAGAGAGAGAGAGAGAGAGAGAGAGAGAGAGAGAGAGAAACACTATAGTTTGATAACTCTCTCTCTCTCTCTCTCTCTCTCTCTCTCTCTCTCTCTCTCTCTCTACGGGTTAATAACACTCGATAACCTTGAGTGAGTGAGTGACGCCACAACCTAAATGTCACTGTGTATAGCTGACGTCACGCTTCAGTTATACGACAGACAGACATACAGTAGACAGTCACCTAACATACAGTCTCTCACACACACTACACAATCACACCTTAGACAATCATGTTACAGTTGCTACAGTCATATGGTAGAAAGTCACGGTACAGTCACGGTACAGTCACGGTATTAAGTGGCCACACGATACCCGGCAACACTCAATCACCTATTTTAAGGTATCGATTAAACACCTTTACCTGGATTGATTATATTTAAAGGTAATCAGGAGAGAGAGCAGCTCAGATTAATACAGAAACGCGTCCAGTAATGAGAGCTAGCATGTGACCCTGAAATGAGTTGTCAACAGTGTGTGTGTGTGTGTGTGTGTGTGTGTGTGTGTGTGTGTGTGTGTGCATTTACTATCACAACAAAGGCAAGAAATAAACCAAACTTGGGAGACGTTAAACAAATAGTGGTGGAGACAGTGGTGGAGACAGTGGTGGAGACAGTGGTGGAGACAAGCGCCAGACAGCAGTTTATAGATTTCCTGTTGACCAAGAAAGAAGAACCTGATGGATAGTCTGTGTGGAACGAGGCGCCCATCCGACACCCGCCCACACCCACCCACCACCCTCACCCACCCACCACCCTCACCCACCCTACCAACACACCCATTTCCCCAATAGTAAATACTAGTACTCCTTTTCAGCCAGTTAGGTGAGTAGGTGAACTGGAGGGGGGAGGGAGGGGAGGGGAGGGGAGTGGCAAGGGGGAGGGGGGGACAAGGAGGAGGGGAGAGAGGGACCTTAAGCTCGAACCAGAGACCTTGAGGCTAAGAGTCGAGCATTGGATCCACTCAGCCACTACTTAATTGTAAAGTCATCCTAACAGTTAGAAAGATCTGAGAGGTATTGTGTGTGTGTGTGTGTGTGTGTGTGTGTGTGTGTGTGTGTGTGTGTGTGTGTGTGTGTGTGTGTGTCATCAACCCCACCAAAGCCACACGCCTTCTACCTCAAGTGTCTCTCAGCTGAAGGTCTTTGGCTTGGAGAGATTAGGTTAGGCTGGGTTAGGTTAGGCTAGGTTAGGTTAGGCTAGGCTAGGTTACATTAGGCTAGGCTGGGTTAGGTTAGGCTAGGCTAGGTTACATTATTTACAACTCACCTTCCTTAAAAG